GGGGCTTTGTAGAAAACGAAGCGTTTGAGAGAGGCGGGGCATAGAGGACCTACAATAATGTGCAGTATTTGAAAAATAATGTGTTTTTTGAACATTAAAGCATGTCAACATATTCTGTTACACCAAATACACAGAATAATGATCTTTAAAAAAGCATCATATGACCCCTTTAACTGTGTCTGGCAATAATTTACAGCATGCATTAGTGCTTAAACAAGCTATTTGATTTATTATGTTTGCCAAGTTTGCTAATAAAGTCTTTCTCTGGGTGACTGACTACCCATTGAAGAAACAGTTTCCCACTTCACCACATACAAAAAAAAAAAAAACGGAGAGATTGTTTAATAAAAGAAAGGAGTGATGGTTTTTTGCATTTGAGGAGACGCAATCATATTTTTTCATTGCAGATCGCTTGTCTCTTGAAATGTCTCTTTCTTCATGTGGCCTTGATTCACCGCTCACCAAACCAAACACACATACTGTACTTGATAGGTTTTGGACCTTGACTGTCTGTGTGACTGACTGCCTTTTTTCCATGTACATTTTCATCTCTGCTCCCCTGCTGAATGCAGTCAATCAAAATCTTATCTTGGACCTCAGTGACGTAGATACAGGAGTCAGGCAGCTCGGTGCTGGGAAATATTTCAGGCTTGATTTGTTTGGGTATGTCAGGCCACAGTGGACTCTTTCTTCCTGTACTTGCATAGACTTAGCTTTAAATGTGTATTACTGGTTATGCTTTAATCTCCAAAAGATGGTCTCAGCTTCTGTTTTTAGCCATATGTGCTATTTTTAATGACCAGTAATCCAGCCAGAGTCTAAGCACGTCCTCACCACAAATTCTGTCACATCCACATTCTGCACACGTCATTAATCTGTCAGTGCTCTCTTGTGCCATATGCTCAAGAAAAGAAATCAATCGGAACATGACATTGTGGACTCAAACATATGATAAGGTCACAGGTCAGGCTTCTTCGTGCCAGTGGGAAATTGCTGCTGTTTGCTTATTTAGTTAAGTTGTGAGCAAGTTTCTGCATCTATCCATTTTTCTTCATCCATCCAGAGCTACTGTTTATTGGGCAGATTGATCTGAAAATACAGATACTTCAAAGCTTGTCAAGTATCAGTCCTCACATAACAGTATTGATATATACTGTATATATATAATGGAAAAAAAGGTGTATCTAAAAATTATTGGCTAAAAATAAGTGATAGAAGGAAAAGGAAGATTAGTAGGAAAAAGTATCTCTCCCTCCACTTCTTTTAACATAGAATACAAAATTCACAGACAGTCAGAAAAAAAACAAGAGTAAAAAAATAGAAGGATAATGTGACCTTAGCTAGGAATTTATCTAAATACCAGTCTTACATAAAAGTTAACGCTAATAAATAATTTATCATTTTTCAGTTACTGAAACGACAAACAAAGAAGTGACACTTTGTCTTTTTAAACTTATTAACCTTTTTTTTTTTACCCAATTATGATAGTTTTATTAGGTTGAATATTAAGTGGTAAAATATTTCTAATTTAATAGAAAACAGTTACCTGTTTTTACAACAGAAATTACAAAGATTTTACTGGCTTTTCGTATTGCATAGAAAAGAAACTGGTATTGCGCATCTTACTGGCTTTGTAACTGGTCTACATAGTACTACGTCATGGGGAATTACCCATCATTTACAGCTAGTTCTGGGATGAAATGCTGGGCAAGTGTTTATCAGTAGCCTGTGCTTAATTTTATAGTCCCTTTCATGTCGACTCTCATGTTTGCACAGAAACAGACAGTTTACCTGTCCTACTTAAATAACAGAGCCGTAAGAATCTGAGTGTCCCTGGCACTAGTATATAATTAGGTGGTTTCGTCAGATCATTTTTCATTAAATAATTTTTTAGTCTAAAGTTAAAGGAACTGAGGCCACCTCTATTGTTATGAAACAGAGTGTGCCAGTTAACTTATATTTTTTGCTTTATCCGTTTAAAGGGGTCATATGATGCTGCTAAAAAGAACATTATTTTGTGTATTTGGTGTAATGAAATGTGTTTATGCGGTTTAAAGTTAAAAAAACACATTATTTTCCACATGCTGTACATTATTGTTTCTCCTCTATGCCCCGCCTTTTTGAAACGCGTCGATTTTTACAAAACTAATCGGTCTGAAAAGCGAGGTGTGCTCTGATTAGCCAGCTATCCAGTGCGTTGTGATTAGCCGAATACCTCAAGCGTGAGACGGAAATGTTACGCCCCTCACATACTGTTGATTCCGTGTCCGGCCAGAGCGACGAGACAAAAACATTAATACCCATTACAAACGAGGCATTTGTTGCATCCAGTGGGGACATAATTACTGATTATAATGACTTATACTGTCGTTTTACGCGTTGCGTTGCATTGCGCCGCGTAAACATAAAACCATGTCTGCATTTGTGATCGGAGAAACAACAAAAGAACGAGCCGTTTTAGGAGGGTGTGGTTAACTCTTAACTTTTATAAAGAATATCTCTTTGGTTTTGAGACTTTAGTGTTTGCAACTTTACAGATCTTCTTTATGCACCAAGAGCTTGTAACACTCCAAAGAGAAAGGAAAAATTGAAATCGCATCATATGACCCCTTTAAGTTTAGATGATGTCAGTATTGTGCGTTGCTAAACTATAAATAGATCGGTTTCTTAGCAATTATGAAGCCATACTTGGAGCACGCTCACACATATCTACACACCTATGAAGTCTTTTTTTTTATAATATACGATCTTACATAAGTCATTGCTATCTCTGATGCTCTGTTTAAACCACATAAAGATGTTAATAATTTAAAATTGTTATGTAA